CCTTCTGTAAATCTTAAGTACACGAACAAAGAGAAGCAAATTGTAGAAAAACCTAAATCTTTTTGTTAGAGAGAAACAAATATAGTGGCCGGCCAATTTTGAGAGGTTTCGCTTCAATGAATGGTTTAAGCTTTTGTACACTTTATTTCTCTTTGTTCCTAAATCATGCTTATCTTTGTTCCTAAGCAAAGTGCATCATGTTTTATTTGTACAGAGCGAGTAAGTAATTTATTTTTTCCTATTGAGTTGAGATTCAACACAATTGATTGGTGCAATATATTTTCTTATTACCTATGGTGGCTAGACTTGTCTATTGTATTAGTTTTTATTGTAGTGATGCCGAGAGTGGCTATTTAGTCGTTGGCCATATGAGGCCGTGGAGATTTTATTGAGGTATTCCAACATGTGGTTTAGGTTTTTCAATAATTTGCTGCTCTTTATTTGTATTTAATAGTTATAGAAAGAAAGCAATCGATCTGAGGGGGATTTTATCATTATAAACTTCCATTAAATTGTCATGAATAAACAAGAATAACTCAACAACATAAAAACTTAAGAAATTTAATGGGCCATATATGCCTTCAAATGCATGTGGGACCAAATATGCCCTCCATACGGACCATCTAAAATAAACGCATATTTGGAGCAAGTATTAAATGACATTCATGTTTGTGCCAAAGTATTAACCATGAGTAAATCCGCTCAATTCGCATAGTTCAAGGGCATATTTGGAGTTGTTCCTTTCCCCATTAAAAGATTCTCTACTCTTCTAAAGTTTAACAACAATTAAATATAACACAAATATCAGAAAACCATATATTGTTCATGGAAAAATAAATAATCTTCAAGGCCAAAAGGAATTTTTTAATAAAAATACTAATTTTATTTCTATTGAGCTAAAGTTATACATATAATTTTAATTACGTAAACATGAAATAGTAATGTCACAAAGACAGAAACTAAAAGAGAAAGACTATTAGTCATCCCGTTAGTTTTGTTTGCTTTAGAAATTGGGTAAGAAGTCCATTAACATTCAACAATAATGCTGTCTATGACTCTGTGGTAGCGACCGATTACCTTTTTAACGGGTGTAGTTGAGCGTGATCACTAGGAAATATCATGCAATTGAGGAGCGCGTGCAGTCCTCTCCATGAACATACATATTACAGCCGATCAATATATAGTATATCATTCTATTTTAGATCAGTCCTCTTTTTTCCCTTTCTTTTTAACCTTTTAAATTAATCAAACAAATTGCTTCATAAACATGCTGCATAAAGAAATCATTTATTATCACGAAATGCTAAAACACACAAAATAAGCTGAGATAGAAGGACGGAAAGGAATAATAATGTTTCAATATGTGTGTCCACCAAAACGTCTGTGTCTTCTTTGAAAAGAAAGTATGGCCTCCTTGAGAGCTTCTTCTCCAAAGTCTGGAAATAGTGTCTTTGTGAAGTACAATTCAGAGTAAGCGAGCTGCCACAATAAGAAGTTACTGATTCTCTGTTCTCCACCAGTCCTTATAAGTAAATCAGGTTTAGCAAACTTAGTACACTTGGTAGCTAGTTCTTGCTCAAATAATGTATTGTCGATATCCTCTAACTGTAGAAGACCGTTCTTTACTTTATTGGCGATGCTCTTAGTTGCTTGTAACATGTCATAATGTCCTCCATAGTTTACTGCTATCATAAGATGAAGTCCTGCATTGGCTTTTGTGATCTCCTCTGTCAATTCTATGCATTTTTGTAAAGTGATGGGAAGTTTGGATCTGTCTCCAATAGCAGACACTCGTACCCCGACCCTGTTGATTTTAAGTAATGAGAATATTGAAAATATTTGTATGTATGTGTAAATATTAGACCAAACAATTACCTCATAAATTCTTCAAAGAACTCTTCGAACAGTTGCATCAAGAAATCAACCTCCTCCTGCTCAAAATAAATAACGGAAAAAAAAATTCTGAAATTCCAATAAGGCCAACAAAATAGTAATGAGGTTAAACTTTGGAGTTTCCATTTAACGTAGGATGCGTACCTTGGAACGACTCCAATTTTCAGTAGAGAAAGCAAAAGCAGTGATAGCTTGTATTCCCAGTTTGGAAGAAATGTTACAAATCTCTTTCAATTTTTGAGTAATTAACTTGTGACCCTCTTGCACAGGTAAGCCTCTAGCCTTAGCCCATCTCCTGTTTCCGTCCATTATTAAAGCAACATGTTTAGGGATATTTAGCTGATCAGCTGGATCATCTATTAGTTGGATACGACGACGATCATCATCAATTAGTTGGATACGACGACGATCATCCTCAAATAGTTGGCTGAGTGAGTTTGAAATCTTGCAGAAACAGCCACGCGCAGATAATGATGAATTCAATGGAGATGGAGATGATGATCCAAGACCCAACTTATTAGAGGTCTTGGATGGGATAAGGAGCTGAGCTTGGAACGCTAACAAAGTGCTCATTTTCCTCAACCTTAGTTAGTTGTACACTAAAGTGAATTAAGTTTACAAAGGAAAGCAGGCAGCAATCTAGTACTACTGATAAAGGAAACTAATCTTCGCTGCTTAAATAGGCATGCATGTGATGTGGGTTAAAACACATGATGGCATCCTGTACTCTACTTAGGATACTATACTATATTCCTCATTGGGCATATAAAAACTAGAGTACTATCTCTTAACATTTGGTAAACGTGTTCTTACGATTCTATTTAATATTATTCAAAGATTGCCATCTAACTTTTTATTAATTGATTGTTACTTTACATCANTGGTAGGGGGATATTTCATGAGGCGGCTCAGCAGCTCTTGGTTGCCCTCGAACCATCTCTGCTTAGCCCGTCTGGAAAGCGGCGACTGCCATACCTTCCGATACGTTTGGTAGACTCATCCTTACCCTGTTAAACCTTGCCAGGAAGTCCCTGAGTTCCTCTCCTGTGGTTTGCCTGACGGCGAAGATGTCGTTGACCCTGGCCACCGCTTTCTTCGCGCCTGCATGGGCTGTGACGAACTTATCCGCCATTTCCTCGAACGTTGATATTGCCTTAGCCGGTAGCTGAGAGTACCATGTTAAGGCCCCTACTGTCAATGTCTCGCCAAACTTTTTCAGCAGTACCGACGGTACCTGTTCTTTCGATAGGTCGTTGCCCTTCACAGCGGTGACGTAGTGGATTAGATGATCCTCGGGATCTGTGGTTCCGTCATATACCCTCAAGTAGGGTGGCACCTTGAAGGTTTTTGGGGTGGAGTGAGGGGCAGCTTCTTCAGTGTATGGTTGTTCAACGAACCTTCCCACGTCGCGTTTTGGTAGCAACTTGGGAGCACTGGGGATCTTGTCGACCCTCTCCTGATATTCCTTCATCTGACCGCGGAGCGCCTTGTTTTCATTTTCCATTTCTTCCATCTTCTTTAGGATGGCTGTTAGCGTGCTATCGTTGGTCTGTGTCTCGATGGGTTTGTTATTCGCTAGTGCAACTTCCGGTTCACCCACGGCAGCAGTGGTACCTACCGTTGGTGTACACCCGATGTTACTTTGTGGTGACCTCTCAACCAAGCCACTTAGAGTGCTTGTTAGCCATCTTTCCAGTAGCTCCTTGACCGCTGAGGGTGCTTCCGTAGCCGCAGATGTGGAAGCTCCTTTTTCGTGCAAGATCGTCAGACCTTCGGATGGGAAAGGTGAGATCTCTGCACCCGGTGTGATGCTAGGGGTTGCATTCAGGATGCCATCGTCACTGGCCTCGTTGAGAGGGCCAAGGAGATTGGTAGTGACACCCAATATAGCTTTCGATCTTGTATTATTTTCGGCCATTTTCTGTTTTTGTGTGGTGTAGAGAGTGGTAGTTGGTTGATCTCTAGGTGGATACTATGGTTTTGATTCTCGAAATCCCCACGGACGGCGCCAAATTGTTTGGCTCAAAAGTTAACAATATACTTTGTAAGCTAGAAAACAATCAAAAGTAAGAAAAGGGTAAATCGTAATCAAATATAATAAACCTAGAGATGCAAAGATGATATTATTGTCGTAGATCTGGTATTACAAAGTGATAATATGAACTCAATAAGATATGTTCGTTTGAGGTAGAGATAGAGAGAGAAAGCCAGAAAATGAGAGAGTTGTATTAGATCAGAATCCCCCCTTTACAATGTGAAGGTCTCCTTTATATAATAAGAGACCTTCCTCGAAAGAATCAAAAAGTTACAAAGACAGGTAACGTCTCCCTAGTGAAGACACTAAGTCCTAAACGATGTCGCTTTTGTCCCCACGTCCGAGTCGTACCCGCTATGTTAGTTGGCGTACACTCACTGGGCGTACCCACTGGCGTAGAGATGCTGAGGGTCAAATTTGACCCTATACAATAAGTATTAGAAATAAATTATTTAAATTTAACTAAGATTGTAGAACTTTGTGTAATTACTTAATTTTTGTTAAAGCCTGTGTCTAAAAATTGGAAATATTGAGATCTAGAGCTGGCGTTCTCTCTTTCCAAATATTTTAGTGGAAATTAGAGTGTGAGTTTGTCCGATGGTCAAGCTTACCCTAAAAAAAAATAAAGCAATACTCCTCAATTTCAAGTAAGTTTTTTATTATCCTACAAAATAGAAATCTAGAAGAAATTGATATTTAGTCAAGCAAGTTTTCTCTGGATACAACCATTAGATTTGGTGAAATTTCTTGTAGAGTTATAGCCTGTTTGGCCAAGTTTTTTTTTGGCCAAAAGTGCTTTTTTTTTTGCCAAAAACATTTTTGGTCAATTTTGTTTGGTCAAGCTTTTGGAAGGAAAAAAGTGTTTTTGAGTAGAAGCAGAAAAAAGTAGCTTCTCTCCAAAAGCACTTTTTTTGAGAAGCACTTTTGAGAAAAATATACTTAGAAGCAGCTTTTTAAAGCTTGGCCAAACAACTAATTGCTGCTCAGAAGTGCTTTTCAACTAATTAGCCAAACACAAACTGTTTCTCACCAAAAATATTTTTAAGAAAAGCAATTTTAAAAAAAAATACTTCTCAAAATAAACTGATTTTTGCAGTTTGGCCAAACGGGCTACTCGTCAAAAAGGCATGAAAGAAATGGTATAAGTTGCGGCAGCCTGACAAGTGACAACCTCAGAATCAAAGATGAAATAATTTATTATAAGCTGAAAGAGGTAAAGAAATCCACTCCAACGTCTGACCACCCAATTATTAGTGCCTTATCTAATCGACAACAAAATGGATGGAATTAGTACAAGATTATCCTTTTGTTATAATCTGCACCTCCCACCAAACGACCAATTCAAAATAGTAGTACTGAATTATACTAGCCACATCATCTTTCTATATTACCAATACTCGACCACCTATACTAAGACCAAAAAGTCGTGTTCACGTTTTGGAACAGTTGGGAAGTAGCAGTGATAAGAGTTATAGCTTAAACATAGAACAGACATGATTGATAAAATAAAAGGCCAAAGAAAAAGCTTCGTACAAATTACTCTCTTCGGTCCATAATAAGTGAACAATTTATCTTGGACACACCTAGTAAGGAAATATTATATTTTAGACAAAAATAGTTAGTGTGACTAAATTATCCTTAATTAAATATTGTAGTATAATTTAATGTAAGGAATAAAAGACTTTTTGATAAAAAGATAATTTTGAAAAAATAAATTAAATTTTTTCTTGATTATATAAATGAACACTTATTTTGAACCAAAATAGAAAGGTAAATTAATCAATTATTGTGGACGAAGAAAGTACATAATTAGAGAGATAGTAAAGCTTTATAAAATTCGAGTTCTATGATTATGGGGCGTCTTGATTCAAGGGAAGTCCCTTTCTTTGTCTTTTTCTATAGCCGCCTATATTTCCCAGCTCAATAACTATCTTTGTTTATTAATTGCGTTGACTTTTACACGTTGAAGAACCGGCATCCCCTCTCCGCCCTTTCCGATTCCCTTAAGCTATGGGAAATTTGGAAGAAGAAAATTAACACCAGACATTAGCTTGTATTTATGTAAATTAATTCAATCAATGGAAGAAATTGATAGCGACAGATATCAGGAAAATTGTGCATAAAATAACTTTATGTATTGTGTATCAGAAAAATAATTTGGACAGGTATCAGGAAAATTATGCATAAATATATGTACACCATATCATGGTATTGCGATTTAAAATAATTAAAGTAATTTTGCTTCGCATGTTATCATCATCATCACTTTTTGACTACCAAAAAGCAGAAAAGATTAGAGATCTTCGCCTTCCTAGGTTTTGGTAGGCAATATAAGTATAAAAACCCTTGCTTGTCGGCTACTAGTGCCATTTAACCGCCTCATTTAATTTGGAGGGAAGGGGAAAATTTTATTTCTTACACAAAAATAATCGAAAAGGCCTAAAAGTGCCGCTTAACTTTCAGAAAAGGCAGATCCATGTCATCCATTAAAAAATGCTCATTCCATACCACCGGCGTTACACATATGGCTCACCTATGCCATTAATGAACTAACGGCACAACATTCTGTTTTAAAATTTTTTTAAGGGAAGAGGCCTAAAAATGCCACTCAACTTTCACAAATGGTCTATTCATGCCATCCGTTAAAGAAATGCTCATTTCATGCCACTGCCGTTAAAGAAATGGCCCAACCATGCCATTTTTGACTAACGGCAGTGGCATGGATGTGCCAAATAAAAATTGAGTCGTTAGTCAATAATGGCATGGATGGGCCATTTCTTTAACGGCAGTGGCATGAAAATAGCAATTTTTTAACGGATGGCATTGATAAACCATTTCTGAAAGTTGAGTGGCATTTTAGGCCTTTTCCGTTTTTTTAAACCCCAGAATTTCCACGTGTAATGTCCTCATTCGTCCGAATTAACCCATGCCCCACATTATTTTAACCTGGGTTATGTCGATTAACCCAAACCCAAACCCGGTTAACTCATTACCCCATTAATCAACCCAACCCAACCCAACCCATTCCAAATCCCCCATTTCCAGTCATCTTCCCCAAATCACAAAAACCATATTTGTTCCTCGACGTTGGAAAGGTTAGTCTATTGTGACTGCTTATAAAGTTATGTGAGAGGAATACTGTTTATGCGCCTCATAGACTTCTACCATCTTCATTGCAATCACTTTTAGGGTTTATTGGAGACGGCAATGACCGTAAAATCTGGCTTACCATGTTTGTTCAAGTGGTTGGTGGTTCAAAGCATCAATCAGATTTCTATTGAGGTGACTTAAAAATAACTTGGCTAATCTATTTGCACCTATAACATGGAAGGTAATACTACTTTCCAAACTGCTTCACCAGAATGTAGCTAAAGCCAGGGATTTTTATTGAAGTATCCGCCTTCTTATTAAGTCTTGGCTCTATAGATTCAACCCGCCATGAAGGAAGAGAAACTTACTTGTTTTGCAATAATAGACATTGTCAAAGAGGACGTATAAGAGAATGCTACATTTTTGAATGGTTAATTTGTAGATTCATGAGTCGGATGAATTTTGTTTTATCAAAGACTGGGGCAGCAGCTTGGGTAATCCAACATTAGAAG